TCAAGAGTCTCTGCCCTCAATCCTGGCCCTGCAGTTATTCAGATAACAGGCTTCAGCTTCTTGTAGTGGGTCCTTAATTCATAAGAGAGGGCTTGGATGAGTGGGGTGTGCCACAGGGCATGATGGGATCCTTACCTATCTGCAGTGGGTCCTTCACAGCCCTCATGCGGAACAGCTGATCCCCTCGCTGGAACTCATCTGCACTGCCATTGGCCAGGCATGAATACAGCCTGGGAGTGAAGAAGAGGACACAGCGGCAACTCAGCAAATAACCTTCTATAGACCCCTGTCAGAGCCCACAATGCCCAGGGCATTCTCTCCTGAGAGTCAACCCCTCTTGGGAAAAATCCCAGGCACTCCACCTCTCTCTGTCTTCTTCTTAGCACAGCCCCAGATACAGTATCTCCTTTGTTCTGTGGGAAGCCCAGCACATAGTATGGAATATCAGAACACCCCTCCCCACCATATCAGGACATGATTTAGCCTCACCGAATATCCTCTTCATTCTCAGGGAAACTCCAGAAAGCAATTCGGAGCTGTAGCTGCTCAGGCACTGGGGGGTAAACTTTCTCCACCACTTCAAATGGGATATGAAATGCCACCTGCTTTGCTGACAGCTCCACCAATGGGATCACCAGTCCATCTTTGGAAACAAAGGTTGAGATGAGGGGCAGGAAGGGGAAACGAAAAGGACCTTGACTACCTGGCACCAATGGCAGTGCGACATCACGGGCCCCACCTTTACCATGAGAGAGGAGATCTACATGAAAATCCAAGGGACCCCCTGTCAGGGTACACCAACCCTTCAGACTCCAGCTGGGGAACGAGAGCTAAACCACCCTGGCCCACAGCCTGTTGCCTGTGGTCTAGAACAGAAGATGCAAGGGAGATCCCAGAAACAGCTAACCAAACAGGTGTGTTCCAGAATTGTAGCAAGTAAGCTCTCTCACATGGCTCGGCATCTAATTTCCCATATACCAAGCACTTTAGGTTCATATTACATTGTTAATGTCTCCCCTCTGGCATTCTCTTCTCCAATTGTTTTTTTACTATTGCCTTTTCTCTAGATGACTCCAGGCCTCTACCTAAGGGGGTAAGATAAAGCCCAGAAGAATTAAGAGAGGGACCTCCAGAAGCAAGAGAGACTGCACTTCCTTTGGCACCCCTGAACCCTGGCTGCCCACAATAGAAGCCCCAGGTTTAGGGGAAGATAGGTCATCTCAAGGGAACCTAGCTGCTGCTCCTGGAATCACCTGGAATAGGAAGGAGTTACCACTCAAGGTTTCCCACACTAATTTAATCAAAAAGCAGTGAAACACAACAGACTGCGTATCTCACCAAATTGCTAGTCAGATTAGAAGACAGATCAGAAAATCATGGAGCTGAATGGAACCTTTAAAAAAAGTTAATCTCCTTATTTTACAAATGAGCAATTAAGGGTAGCTCGGGACTGAGGAGGAGTGGGTGGGGTAATGGCATGCTTTCCTAGATTTTAACCTGTCCAGTTTAACCACCGTGACTTCAGTTACTTCCCTCAAAGTGAGGGAGCTCTAAGCCCCAAGGCTACCCACACATGCAGATATATGAAAGAAGCAGACAGGCCACAGAAGACCCACAGTGAAACTGTCTTAGGTCTGTGTTTGTGTACAGAGAGCATATGCTCCCTCTCCAACCAAAGTTCAATACTGCCACCCCTATAAAGTCACATGGATAATTTTTTCTGTCCAAAGGGGATGCTAAATATCTCTGTGGGACAGTTTGGAAAACAGGACTCTTGGAATGGTCAGAGTAGATCACAAACTTAACCCCTCAACTGCTGGAAAAAAATCAGTTTCCACTGAGGCCCAGGACAAAAACTGTGCAATGAGGAAGGTGGGAAAGGATGTGGTGAGTCCCCAGCCTGCAGAGTTTCTCTTACCATCACTCTCCTCCTCATTCCCTTCCAATAAAAGCAAAATTCTTCACAGTACTAAATCAGTTACTTCACTGAAGATTCAAGAATGAAAGAAACTCACAGCAAATAGCAAGAGTGTTTTATAAGGAGACCTCAGAGACAATTACTCACACTCTTCCCCACGCCCCAGATGATGGAAATACAAGGCTCTAAAACACTGGTCCAAGCCTTGGCTTGTGACAGCTGTTCAATATGGCCAGAAATCAAGCCTCTGATCTAGACCTATGTGACTATGGAATCTCCTCACAGGCCAGTTCACTTCCAATTTCCTCTGGGTGGTGGAATCCTTTCTTGGTGTAGCTGGGACCAGAGATCACCTTGAAACAAGAAGCCCTCAATCCACTTTGCTATGGGGTGACACATCAAGTGGTCAGTTCTTCACAACTCACCCCCTCTCTTCTCTCTGTCTACTTTCTGGCTTGCCTCAAGCTGAACTCAGTAAGAATTCCCAAGTCAGAGGGTATTCTCTTTTACCCCATCTCTAAGGCAAATTAACGACAGAAGATCTACTTTCCATTGCTAATCCTATCCGACCCAGGATTTCCCATCCATCACCCCGAAACACACACGCGCGCGCGCGCGCACGATGATGTAAAGAAGCCAACCCCAGGAAGACCGGAAAAGCGAGTCCTCAAGTCCTTTCTAAGCTTGGGACAGCTCGCGATCCGGGACAGCTCCAGCGCAGGGTCAGCTCTCCAGCAAGGCCGGAGCAGGGCCTGCCCGCTCCCCTCCCCCAGCTCACCCTCACCTCGCATTCTGGTACCGCCACTGCCACCGCCGCCACCGCCGCCAGTGGGGGAATTGGGCCCCGCTGACTGTTTGCGCCATCCCCGCCAGTTCTGGCAGAGGCTCTCGGCCTCGGAGATGAAGGAACAGAGGGAATCCTCTTCAAACCGGTCCGAATCCTCGAATGAGAAGCGCTCGCCGTCCTCCCACTCAGCGAACATCAGCTCCATGGGGCCCGCACCCCCCGGGGCCGGGTCCCCCCCCGCGGATCCGGGGCCTGGGCCGCCGGCCGGGGGCTCTGGGGAGGCCCGGGGCCTGAGGGGCGAGCCGGGGCTGGGGGTGGCCGGGGCACTCAGGGCGGCCGTGCCGGGCGAGGACTCAGGTCTGGGAGAGATACACGACCGGACCTCGCCCAGCTGCGAGGTGCAAACGGGGATCGTGGCTAGGCTCCGAGGGCCCGGACTAGGCGCTCGGCAGCCGGGGCCTTTCCACTGCTGCGGCACCGCCTCCCCCATCAGCTGATCTGAACTTCCGGCCGCGCCGGCCACAACGACTTCCGCCCTCGCGTGCTCGGGAACCTAACCCGGTACGGACGGATGTAAGGAGCCGGTTTATTTCATTGCTGCATTTCCTGCTTTCTTTCCTCTAACCCACCCTCATATACCGTAAGACGGAGCCAACTCCGGAGGTATACGAAACAACTACAAATCCCAGCAATAACTCGGCGTCCCTAATGTCCCCAAAGAATAAACAGCTGCCATGCATGCTGGGACTCGTAGGCTGTCAAGAGACAACACAGGAACCATTGGGTGGATTTATTGTCCTAACACCGGATAGGCCCTGGGGCCGCATCACCTTACGGGAATTGTAGTCAAGAACACTGCATTCCAAAAGACTTTTATAGGGTCTCTAATTGGGGAAGCTCCAGGAAAAGTAAGCATTTGATTTCATCAAATGGCTGTACGGTTTGTCAGTAAGGCATTTGAGTCTAATGGTCCTTAGCCTTTTTGTGTGCCATGGACCCTTTAAGCAGCCTGGTGAAATCCCTGAAGTCCTCCTCAGATTGTTTATAAATACATAAAATTTAAGAACTACAAAGGAAAATGATTATGTTGAAATACAACCATCAATCTGTTAACAAATTTTTAACATAGTATACTTTATTTACACATTAAATAAGACCCAGCAGCAAATGTAGTACCTACCACAATTTTGAAGCTAGTGATGAGTACCAATGATAGAGATATCTGTAACTAATTGTAATATATGAAAATAGTGATTTCATATAGGTATTGATAATGACACTTTGTTTCCCACAGTCCTAACTGAGATGCTAAATTTCAATTGTAGTTAAAGGTAAAAATTTTTTCCCATCCATGTTCAGACCTCTTACTGGGTGTCTACTGAGCCTAGGTTACTTAGTACAGAGTGCCTATGCACTGAGCTTTTTCCTACAGCAGAAAGCCTCAGCTTGCAGAACCAGGCAATTGTCCAGTGCTCTACCCATGGATGATAAAAACTACAGGAGGAGGTGGCTGTAAGGGGTCAGGGAGGCAACTCCTTCTTAATCTTAATAATTATCCCACTGGAGCTTTAAAAACTCCACTGATCACTATGCCCATCTGATGCTGTAAGGTACACAGACAAGGTTAACTCCTTTTTCAGTAATTCCTGAAAGAGCAGAGTATACATAAAATGCTATGCAATTGTTTCTAATATCAGGGGTCACAAAAGTAAATGCCTTCAGTAACCAGATGGATAACTTAATGAAATCAAAGGAGATAAATGCCAATTAAGTCTGTTTCAATATTTTGGAGAATCAGTAGCCAAGTCCCTGAAGAATGGAGACAAAAGATAATTAGCTCTACTTGATTACTGCCACAGTTGCCATATCTTTTGATTATTTTTTTCAAGAAAAGCAAAAGGTGTTTTTTTAAAGACATTTTTCCTATTTTTTAATGTGGCCAGCTAATTTAAAAACAAAATTTTAACTGTATAGGCCAAAAAACTACATCTGCAGTACCTTTGGGGCATCAGTTTGTGAACTGATTATTCTGGGAGCACCTTGCAAGGGCTATGCACAAAATACAGTCACTAAATACTTACAGGTGATGGCAAAAAAACTGCATATAGATGGCCTTCAACATCCTTAGTGCATCAAAGGCAGGGGCACTAAATGGTGTAAGAGACTTCAAACGCAGGACAAGACAAAGGTTTTTGTCCTGCTCCTGCGGCAAATCAGAGAGCAAAGAAACTTCCAGAGCCTAAGGAAGGACACAAAGTTCAAGTATGGAGGGAGTCTAATCCACAACAGGCCAAGTTCTCTTGAGAAGATTTTATTTCAAAATAAAGCATAACTTCCATTCATTGATTCCAAACGGTGAAAAAAAGTGTTTTGCCTTCTTTCACCCTTCAAATGGAGCGTGGCAGGGCAAATGTCTCTAACATGCCTCTGTACAGTTCTCAGAAGCTATAGTCCAGTCACTGAAAATGCTTCTCCATCTTCAGCTGACATGAGGTTTGTTAGGAAACCTCTGTAATAATTTATTCAACTTCTTGGGGGGCAAACGCCCAGACTCTCCCAGGGTCTCCTGGATTGATCTCATCTTTCGGGCTGCCTGAAGAGACAACAAAAACAAAAATGACAGCACTAAAGTTTGTCCTGACCTAGACAAATAGTTCTCACAAACCCCAAAACACACAAAGATACTGGCTAGCCTGGAGACATCTGCGTCATCTTCCCAGTCCCCTTTCAACAAAAGGGACTTGGGATTTACAAATGACTGGATGATCTAAAGCTATCATGCCAGTCTAGGCCGGAAACCAAAACTCTGTCCTTCACTATCTTTAGTTCTACTTAAGACAATAATGTCTATTAGAGCAGAAATTTAAATTTCCCATTCATTCTCTCATTTGACATGCACAAAACTCTGTAAAGTGGGTATTAACTCATTTTACATCTGGTCAAACAAATCACTCAAGATCACAATGCCTTCAAAGCCGTAACCTTTCCCACTTTGGCGTGAGTGAAACAGCTCCCCAAAACTTAACTCGCCCTTTTAGAATGTGAGGGACTGTCTTATCACCTAGCAAAAGGCAGGGGAATCATTACGTGTATCCCTTCGCCCCCATTCTCCTCCCATGAGGGCACCCGAGGAGTCTTTCGTCACCTCAGCCCTCGAAGCACAATCGAAAAACTCCTGGATCTCTTTTCTGCATGCCTCGTCGCGGAATTCATTCTGCTTCCAGCAAGCCATCATCACCGACATCTCAGTGATACAGGTTGCCTCTGATGGAGCGAAACAGGGATACACTCAGACACCTGGAGATCCTTAACCCTCCCGCCCTCCCTCCCGGCCACTCCCAGGACCCTTCCGGCTTCTGCTCTGACCGCTCACCGCCTTTCTCCCGGCGTCGTTCCCCGACACGGTTAGCTAGGATAAGGGGTTTGTTGGGCTTCAGTATAGGCTTCCGTGGGTTTCCAAGCCGCGCCAAGCGACCCCGCAGAGAAGGCGTCGCCATTGCGCACCGAGCTCCCGGCAGGCTCTGCAGCGCAGTGCGTGACCCTGCGTGACCCTTACGAGCTCGACAAGATTCGGCGCACTGCTAGACGAGAGCTTGGCTCGCGCCTGTTTGCCCTTCATTCTCTTCCTGGCCTGGTCGCCCAGGTGTTGAGTTTGAACACTGGCCACCCCGATCCGCGTGCAGGTTCGGAGGAAAATCTTTGGGATTCGTACGCCGACCTAGGCCGCTCCTTTGTGGACTCCGAGCCCTTAAAGCTCGGGGCAGTACTGGGCCGGGAACGCCCAGGAAAGGGCCCCGATAGATGAACTTTTCTAACGTGGTAGCGGGCCGGACTAGGTGACTGACATAGGTAAAGGCAGAGAGGATGGGAGCGAGTAAAACTATGACTTTAAGATACTAGGTTTGGAAAGATTTTTGTTACTTTTTAGAAAGCTTTCAAAGACTGTTGGTTTTGGCTACCTTTTGAACCACTCTGAAGCCGCAAAGAAAAATTTGGCTCATTTAAACAGCTGATACTCCTTGGATATCGTTTGCTCATTTTTAAGGATCTCACTGGGTAGGGTGAAGTTTAGGCATTTTTGCTTTCATGGTCTTATTTAATTGTCTCTCCAGTCCTGTGAAGATACTTGGTATCATTCCTGTTTATAGACTTGTCCCTTCTGTTGTGATGCTTCATCAGACGTGGTTCTATGTAACTTGTAGTTGTTTACAAAACAGTTCAAGGATGTGCCACGGATTCTCAAGGTATTTACAAATGAGCGCCAAAAATGTTTCTGTTAATGAAAGCATAACTTGAAGAAGCTTGTAGTTCATGACTCCTTTGGAGGGACAAATTTATTTGCGTAAAATTGAGTGCAAAAAAATCATTTATCACAGATATTTGTGATCTTCCTGTTGATCTCAGCATGACTGGTTCTTTTTTCTTCTATTGAGTCTCAGTTCCTGTCAGAGAAGCCCTGACTTCCCTGATACCCTGCCATCAGCAACCTGTTTTATTTTCTTCATAGCTCATACCAATCAGAATAACCTCATTCATTTATTTTCAGCCTTAATAACAATACCCAGCAAAGAGAAAACCAAGCAGAAGACACTGTTTAAAAAGAAAACATTTATTATACAAAATGAACCTGAGATAATAGGAAATAGCAACATATTTGGAGTAATAAAGGCGTCAGTCCCATGCTCCACCCACTCTCCAGCAGCACAAATAAAACTGGTAGCTATCGGACAGCACTACCACCAGTAACTGCAAGTCTGATGCTGTATACAGAACAGCCTAGGTCCTAAACCAGAGAAAATTCACATTGCCTGCTTTCTCCTAGGGGAAGCAAAGCCTTTAGTGGATAAGTATCCCGTAGGTATTCCTGGTTCTGCTTTCCCTTGGTGAAAATGTAGGACCTGGTTTACCCTGCTCTTTTCTGAATACTTTTATGGTGATAGGAATAAAGGAGAAAGTCTGAGAAGCACTAACCACAAGGCAGGTGTTCTCCAGCCACAGTCATTAGTAAACTGGCCCACTTTGTACATAAAAGTGCTAAAGGAATCCCAATATGAACTGGTGTAATTAGGGAAAGTTAGGGATGATACTACACTTTGTATAACCATCACTTAACCTTTTTATTGCACATCATGAAATTTGAGTCCTAGGCCTTTGCACTTGCGTAATGCATATTTTACACTACAAATCACCTGCATTTAAATAGATTGCAAGCTTAGAAATCAGAGTCTTAAATGTATTTCTTTAGTGGGTCTCAACTCTATCAAATAAGTGATTTTGAAGGTCTATCTTTCCCTTTTGTTTTTTTCTGCGAAACCCCAAACAAAACCAACTTCACGCTGTTGTGAAGGGCATTTTTAACTAAAGAATAAAATGAAAAAGGAACCACTTACCCTGGCAGTGAAATCCTGCCTAAATTAGAGCTTTCCTTGACCACATCCTTAGTTGTCACAATACTAAGTGTGGGACCCTAGTTGTTGAAGCATCTAACATATATCTGATTGTAAACTAGTGTGTGTATATTTACATTACAACATTATAACCAGGTAGCTCTAAGGTCCAAGGTATTCTTTCTTGTTCTACTGCCCTAGAAAAAGCTAATGGTCTCCCTACCCATTAAGTTGTATTTTCAAACCACAGCAAAAGAAGGATTTGGTTACATCTCCAAATCTGACTAATAGCTTTTTATATAACCAGCCACTTGTAGTGGCTTAAATATCTTTAAGATTTGAGATTGCCTCTCATCCTCTTCAGTTTAGGGCTTTGGGTGGGCTCCCATCAAAATTTAGTCTTAGTATTATAAAGTTGAATAGAAGGCTATCAGTAACAGAATAAATGAAGTTGGAATATTTCATTCCACTTAAAGTGAAAAGTGCTGCAGAATATGAGATAATTACTAGAGCTATATTGCTGGGCTGTTTTTCCCACTATAATTTTCATGACTCTGGGGGCAATGGGACATTTTTAGCATTTAAAAATAATAAAGGGAAGAGTTCATTAATGCAGACAGAAAAGAACAAAGACTTTTAGAAATTTGCACTTTGATTCACACTAGCCTATTTTAACATTTCAAAGTCATTTAAATATTTTTCTACCATCATTCCCAGCCTTAGTCCCCATCTCTAACCTAAAATAGAGTAGGACTGTTCATTAAATTGACATGATATATGTTTTGCCACTGAATTTTTCTGGTCATAAAGAGAAGGAATTCCAGATATGCCATAGAAGAGAAGCAAAGTAGCAATAAGAAAAGCTGTCAAATCTATACCCAGTTTAATGCAGACAGAATGAAAGTGGGAATGGTGGCAACACTGCTGCATCTTCATCAGAAATTGTGGAAAATCAGGAAAGAAAAACCTATTGAAAATAAAAAGTTTGACATGAAAGGCAAAGTAAATGATCAAAAATACAATTCTAGAGAACCAGACTACAATCTGCCAGGAATCTGCTTCACCACCATCACCATCAACATAACAGTTTATAATGCAGTAAGGAGATGAAGAAGAGAGATTAGGAAAGGTATTGAGTAATAAGGGATTTAAGGAATAGCACAGAAGTTTTAAGACCCTAAACCTGGCCCATCTTACCTCATGTGTAGCCAAGTAGTATACTTTCAATCACAACTGAGAAGATGAAAGGGCTAGAGAAAAGCAATTCTTTTAAAGGTCTGTTGTATCAGCACATTGAATCAAGATGATTTTTTAGGCTTCTGTTTCCCACTAAACCAGCACTAGCTGCCTTCATCTCTCCTTGAGGAGAGGCCCTATTACCAAAAGCAGACACACTGGTTACATATCATTAGGATAAAATTATCAGTGAATATAACTGGAATTCCTTTAATTCATGATACAACAATGTTCATTATGGGTTTGTGCAGAGAATGCTCCTAATTTTCCATGGTAGAATAAGGACTTCCATCTCCTTGGCTCTACCAAGTTAAAAGCTCTCACAAGGGTAATTAAATATTTTGGTTCCTTTTCATGAAGATCTCATGTAGGTAATCCCAAAATTTCCTCTGCTGTGTCTCATTGTTGTGGATCATGACAGTAAGAGCTTCCCCCTGGTCCAGACCTTGCCAATAATCTTGCAGCCACATCTCCTTCCAGCTGAAATATCAAAATGGGGGTTGGATTATAGAACCTCAGCATAGCTATAAATCCTGCCTTTCTCTTAATGGGGCCAAAGAAATCTTAAACAGATACAGTAGGCTTTGGCTAGGACAGGGCTGTGCTTCATAGGGAAGTAAATGTGAATTAAATCCAGTTCTAGTCCAGGTGACAGTAAGCCACAAACACAAATATATCACACAGCCTACACAGAGTTATACTTCCTGACTTGCCTGCTCCTGGTTTACAAATGTGGAGGGAGTTCATAGGCAGGCAGGCAGGGGCCAGACTTAGGAGGCAGTAGTCTCCCTAAGGAAAGCAAGGTAATATATTTAGATAGTTACCTTTTAAGTTGTATTTTTTTTTTCAATAAAGTGCAGTGGCATCCAATATCTAGATAAGACACAACCTAAATATTTATTTTTTATATGTTTTATACTTTTCCTCTAGTAAATCATACTTCGTTCAGCATAAACTAGATACAAATGACTTGATGGAGGGCTCCATTGCCAGGACAAATGTGCCTGCAGCCTATATAAAAGCACTCTGCTGCCATCCAACTGTCCGAGTTGGTTTCTGCAGGCCATTCCAGCAGCCTCTCTCAAGCTTCACCTTTTATCTCCCTCACCAGATGTGATTTTCAGCAAGTAGCTTTAACATTTTCCCACCCCTACAGCCCTTGCTGACTTTGTTTCCCAATGCCACCACCTTCTGCACCCCATTGCAGTAGCCTCCTCACTTCCCTTCCAATCCACATTGCCACACCATTACTATTTTTTGAAAGCATTCTTTCTATTCTGTCTAGGGTAAACATAATTTACTTTTAAGAGCGAAAGGAGATGCTATTAATAACTACACCAGGTTAACAGATGTAAACCCTGACTACTGTAGACAACCTCCCTCAAAATGCTCATCTTTATATTTCTCATACCCAGCCCCACCATATGGAAGATGCTCAATAAATAGCTGGTTGATTTTTAGGACAGTCCAACTCCTGAGCCTGGTATTCAGGCTATGTATAGCTTCACCCCAGTTTATCTGCTTAACTTTGTCCCTTTTCATTTCCCTGAAAAGGCCCTCTCTGTTTAAAACCTTTTTTGAATCACTGTTGGAAACACTGCCCACATAAGCTGATTTTCATGTTGTTCCCTTGAATTGTATTTTAGGTATTTATGAGCTTTTTCAGTTTGCTATCTCCCCAACTAGGCTCTTGACACCTCAAAGGCAGAGTGAGGCTGTTATAACTGCCTTATCCAGTATCCCCTGAGCGCTTAGGGCTAGTTCATTGCCCACAGTAAGCAAGTAAGTAAATCATTGATTTGATGGTCGCAGAGGATGCCAGGTGTCCTTACCTGTCACTCTCTGGAATCTCTTCCACACTACCAAAGCCAGGGGTGGGCATTGGGCAGTCCATGTGTGAGGGCTGGGCAATGTGAGGCTCTGGAACAGGGATGTCCCCAGGAGAGGCTGCGTGGGCTTTCTCGGCATTGAGTCGAGACAGTTCGTGATCACAGACGAAACACTCGAAACCGTTGAGGTAGTTAGGCAGTAAAGGATCATTCACTCCCCACTCCCGACGCTTCAGATTATCCAGAAGGAACTGGTTGGACATGCCCCCAGGTTGCTTGTATGCCAGATATTTCATGTATTCCTCATCGTTTTTGTCCAGAAAGTCAATAAACTCTGCCAGCTTCTGAGGTGACTCAAAGTCGTCAATGAGGATGATGGAGTGATTGTTGGGCATCCAGTCCCTAACAGTGGGAGAGCCACGGTACACAGGCACGGCGCCAAGATGCATGGGGCGCCACAGTTTTTCTGTCATGTAGTCGTCACAGATGGCATTTTCGAGGGCCAAATGAAACTTATAGCGGGCCATGAATGCCAAGAGCTCTGGATCCTCGGTGGTAGCTGTAGCTGTGTCCTGTAGCCGAGGAGTGGGCAGCTCCCGATTTTGCAGGCATTTCCCGTATGAGTCCACCTGTGCGGGGTAGACTACGGTCGTTAGGAGGGTACAGCAAGTCGGCCTGGACACCAGGTGTCCTGGCCTCAGCTCGACGCGCCCACTCCCCTCCCAGCCCTACCCCTCACCCACCGGGATATAGCGCATGAGTTCGCGCACGTAGCGGTCCCGGTCCGCTGGCACGTCGCAGTGGGACTGCAGATAGAGTAGCGGCGCGTAGCCGCGGCGGCGCCACTCCGCGCGCTCCCGGAGTGGAGGCGCCGCGCGGCGCAGGTAGGCAGTCCCGGGGAGCCACTGGAGAGGCAGCGGATAGTCCGAGTGGCGGCTGAATGTGGCGGTGAGATTGAAGAGGCGGATGCCCGGGCCGTGGCTCAGCAAGAAGTTGTTGAGGGGTGACTCCTCGTGCAAGAGCGCCCAGCTCTGATGCGCTAGGCGCGGTAGCGGCGCCTCGGACGCGCGAAAGTCGGTGCCGTAGAAGAGCAGCGCGCGTGTCCCCCAGTCTCCCCGTACCCGTCGGTCCCGGGACGCCACGCACGCGCCGCGCGCGCACTCAATGCGCTCCGAATCATCCGGGAAGTGGGGAAACAGCCCTGGGCTCCACCACAGCAGCACCGGCAAGTCCACTGCCTCCTCCTTCCCGGGCCGCGGGAATCCGGAACTGCGAGCCACCCCCACCGCGCCCAGCGCCGAGGGCGGCCCGAAAACCGCACCATCCCACGGCTCCGCCCACTCCGCCTCCGCACCGGTCTTCCCTTTCCCTACAGGCCCAAAGCCGCCGGCCTCGCAGACACTAAGCACTCCTAGGGCAGCAAGCACAGCTCGGGCGCGGCCAGCCGCCATGTTCACTAAGGCGCCAGCCCCCGCCCACGTATGTCTACCCGACGAGGTCCTACGCTGCCTGGGCATATGGCGCATGCGCGGTTCCGCTCAGACAGCCACTCTCCAGAGCGGGTGGCCTGGCAGAAAGAACTGGGGGAAGGAGTAATTAAGTCGAGGGTAAAAATGAGGCGACTGGTTACATCTTAATTTATTTCTTTACAAATTAAAGATGCATTGAAAAATAAACCAATGAAGATAAATGAGAGATCCACAGCAGGTCCATCCCAGGTTGAGAGCAGACAACAGTCCCTTGAACTGCCCCGCTAGTTCAGATTGGAAGATAACTATCAGCCACTGTCAAGACCAAAGCCCAAGTGGTGTCCTGGCAGGAAAGAACAGAGCTCCAGCCGCCTCTGCCTTTCTTCCCAGCGACCCCTTGCTTGGAAAAGCAGTGTTTCCCGTGGAAGCTCAGAGTGCGATGTGGGCTGGCTCTGTGAGGTATTGCAAGTTGATGACCAGGCTCCCTACAGAACCTTCCAGTGTTGGAGACTCTCTAGCTGGAAAGAAGGCTTGTACCTCTCCCAGGTCTTAATATATTTGCAACTCAGTTCCCAGGCTCATTCATCTCTGACAATGTGCCTCTATCCACACAGTGATCACCCATCACTGCAGGACAGAAAGAGAGCTCATCAACGCCCTCAGTAAGTTTGACTTGGCTGTTGACTTCCAGGCCCAAATAGGATGGACCACTTTCCTCTCCATCACCTATGGTCTATACCCCAGCTCTTGTGCAGCTGTATGTTTTATCCCTAATATAGGAAGTTGTTTATGACACTGAGGTGAATAACTGCCTCTCCCCATAGTGACCCTAGGATCCCCACTCTCTCCTGTCTGTCCCTCTCTTCTTGGAGGCTGGTCCAAAGGGACACATAATATTGCCAGGGTCTGGGTGCCTCCAAATCCCCAACACCAAATCATATACAGTAAACTGAGAAACTACATTCATTAGGACAGGATTAGCAGGGAAAGGAGGGTAAAATGAGGAGACAGGGGCACCTTCCATCAGCAGGACATGACAGAGTGGTAGGATACTTCAGCCCAGAAAGAAGGTGTCTCCTTATACCTCCCCCTCCCCCCAAAGCGACTGAGGTCAGCTTACATGACTTATAAGATATGGAACTGTCCTGATTTCTGTTATCCTGGGGTACTTTATGGAAGCTGGCCTGGAACCCTATGCCCTTTACCCACTTGCTCTAGCTCAGTAGCTGCCGAATCTCCTTGTGCATATGACAGAGAAAGTCCACATAGGATGCTCCCCCACTAAGGCTCTTGTCTTCCACCAGGAAGTGCTTGAACACCATCTCCAGCTTGTCCTCCTGTTTCACCACGATAAGCTATGGCCAGAACACGGGGTCATGAGGCAGGGCCAAAGGAATTAAACATGCCCTGAAATCCCACTATCCAGTCACTTACTCACTCCCCAGCCCCCCTTCTAGGTGAGGACTTGAAAATAAATCCAAGGATCAGATTAGTGTTACCTTCATGTACCGCGATCTCTGTGCCCTTAAGCTATCAATGAGGCTTCGCACCTTCTTGGACAGCGGATTATCCAGAACTGGCAGAACACTCTGAAACACAAAATTCATTTATCCTTATGGTAAGGTATTCTCAGTCAAGGTGGGGCAGCACAAATTTATGTGTCATCTAAAACAAGGAAGACTCGGAAGAAAGTACCTTCCATTCCCTGTAAATGTTCACTGCTATTTAAGGGGACTAGCACACTAACTTTATTGGCTCCTACTCATATAACAGTGCATTTCCACACTCATATTCTCCTTGACTCTCTGCCCTCACCAAGCCACTGGTGATCTGACTGAATGAGGAGACGCTGAAGAGGCTCTGGACAACACCCTGTTGGACACTTGCTCCCACCCAGAGGAAGAGATTGAGTCCATTCTCCAGCAAATACATATCCCCGTTGCATAGACGCTCTTCAGATGCTCGAATTGCTGGTGGTTCAGTGGTACTCTCAATGGAAGACTTTGTCTAGACAAAAGGAATGGGGCAAAAGGTTACCAAGGACCATAAGACATGTTTGCCAGCCCTGACCCCCCACCAGTTCTCCCCGCCTGCCACCACACACACACACAATTTCAGAAATCAAATCCTTCATGAAGTCTCTTAGTGTGACAATTACATCTGATAATGTAGGTAAAAACAAATTCATTAGTGTCAGACACAGACATTATTAATCCTTCCCTTTCTCCTCCTGTGATGCCCCTTTCTCAGTGCAATGTCTCACACTTGGCCCTTAGTCATACCAATGGTAGGAGCCGAGGATAGAAGAAAACATTGGTCTCCGCCACATCCATGGAGGTAACCAGCTGTCGGACATAGGCACGGTCATCAGTAGTGACTTCAGCTCCAGGCTGTAGGACTTCACTCTTCAACACACAGTTCAGGTAAACTGGGAGTAGCTTCATGCACTCGGGAAGGATCAGCTGAGGGGGTTATCAAAGTAAAGTCAACAATGATGAGAAATCCCTTCCAAATACAAAAATTTGTCCCAAAAACTCCTCTAATAACGTGCTTGCCGCACCTGTCCTGCAGAGGAGGGGCTGGCACAGTTCTTTCTGTAACAGGCCAGGATCTGGGCACACTGGGTGATCAGAGTGTCACGAACAGTCTTCACAGGGCTGTTTAGGACACCCCGGTATGCTGGACAGGAAAGGGAGATCGTACAGTCATTGGTCAACCATCCTATCACCTATGCCTTCCCACTACCACACCTACCCAACAATCCTGATCTGCTCACCATCACCTTTCTCTTAGCTCCAATCCCACCCTGCCCTGCCTCTACACTCACCAAACTTGGCCATGTAGTTGATGAGTGTGTCAGTTTCACAGTTTCGATACAGATCAGCCAGCTGGGTGCAGCAGTTCAGAGCCAGATTGTGGATACGGAGCCGTCGCTGACCTGCACAGCTGGTATAGAGCAAGGCGCACTAGGGGAGAAAGGGAGAACTCACATCCCTCCCTCACCAAAGCCATTTGAAAAAGTGCCCCTTTGCTATATTGTTAAAGTAGAGAAAAGACATGACCTATCCCATCCCCAGCCTCTTCTAGCCCTCTCATCCTCTTCCCTGCAGCTAATTTATATCCAGTGAAATATCACCCAACAATTCCCCCCTAGCCCCTGCCTCCCGCTTGCCACCTGCAGGAGGGCTCCACTCTCTTCATTGAGCCGATCGTCATGCTTGAACTCCACAGTCACTGTCTTGTCCCCATCCAGCCCAGCCAGCTCCACATCTGTTGTGTTGCTCATGTAGAAAGCCCCAAAGAAATCTACAGCACGGATACCTGAGGCCACAAGGACAATGTCAGGGCTAAAGGTATGACAGGCATCATTTGCCTCCCTCCAAGATTTAGCCCCCAGCCTGCTCTTCTCTGACCACGACTGACCAGTGCTTGTCCGGACCCGCATCACAGCATCAAAGCCAACAACCTTCTGTACATCCCGACGCAGGTCACTCAGGAACCGTTCCTGGTCATTCTCCACCTGCAGCACCCCCAGGCCCAGAGTCACATCACCAACTACATAACATCCTGCAGACAATCTCCCTGTATCCCCTTCACTATACAAGCTGTTGATCCATAATAACAATTACAGTGAAGACGATCATGACGTTGATGATGATGACAATAGCTTTTAAGCACTTATTATGTGCCAGGTACCACATTAAATGCTTTACATATAATTACTTAATTCTGATGATAAATCCTAATTGTTAAGTATTAAAATCCCATTTTATAGATGAAGAAACAAAGAGACAAAAATTAACTAATTTCTCCTAAGTGAGAAATTATATAGCTGCTTCCAAGTGGTAGGGCCAGAATATCAACCCATTTCAAGCTGCATGTTCCTAACCACTACACTCATGGCTTTCTTCTTTACACCAAGTGGTCTTCTCCTCCAACAGTACTACTATTAATGAGTCAGCAGCCAGAGGGCCACTCCACATGTAGGAAGAGATTCCCAGGCCTGCTTCCATCTGCCACCCAGAGCCCCATGCCATACCTGAAAGCAAGCATATTTGTAGACAGAGCCACCAGTGAGCTGGGGCACAACAGAGAGTGTGGCCACATCCACATACTGGTTAGGGAAGAGGAAGAGGTCTACACAGCAGCCTTGGGCCACACAATCTCTTGCCAGGCTCTGATAGGCACCTGTCTGAGGCTGGAACAGTGTCTGGGAGGAATAGAAGAAAATGTTCAAAAATCTCAGCTCTACCATATTTGAGAACTGTGTATGTAATATTCAAACATGTAAGATTTCAGATCTACTTCACAGGACTTTGCAATAGTAGAAATGATCTCATAAAAAAGAATCTACCAAGGGCTTTAGGAAATGGAATAGAGAGGTGTGGGAGCAGTGGAGAAGATTGGCAGCCACGAATGTGACATGTGAAAGGGCAGAGTGTCTAATCCCAGTCAACCTCAACTTAGTTAGACTATTGCATTGTGAAGAGTCACCACCTTCCTCAGTAATGGGAAGTCCCTGCATCTCCCAAGCCCATACCTTCTCCTTATCTGTGTTGATCAACTTCCTGTCATCTCTGTTCTTCAGTTTCCCTGGGGCCTCTGCAATGGGCAGGGACGTATGGAATAGAAACAGCTTCCCTGCACACTCAGCAGCCTAGGAAAGAAGAGAGGACTACATGTACATTCTTTCCTTTATTCATCCGTTATTCATTCACCTTTTCCCTCGTCATTTATTCAATGCCAACTATGTCTGACAAACTGACTCAATGGAGAGTCATTGATCACTGAAGAAAACGGGGATAATATCATACGGGGTAAGATGGTCAGAGGAAAGTGAGATAGAGGAGTTACCAGGGACTCTAGCCTTACCTTCAGAGCCTCCATCCCAGCCTGGATAACTGGGGCAAATACTGTCTCCGTCTCCCTTGTGTCTGCAAACATTTCTGGAATCTGATCCAATAAGCTGAAGAGATGGGTGGTGGGAGGTAATCAATTGGTATCCAGATTCTAGATTCCTCAGCC